AATTTAAAAGTGCATTTTCTCAAGAAGATAAAACTTCAATGCCACATAAACCTAAAAGCCCCTACCCCACCATGCCAGATATAACCATTAATATCAATGGCATAATTAAACTCCTTAAAAATATAAACCCCCATAAAGCTAGTGGGCCTGATAATATCCCTGCCATTTTCCTTAATAAACTCTCGGAAGAGATATCCCCCCTTCCTTGTATTCTTTTTTCAAAAATGCATAAATGATGGAAAAATCCCAGAAGAGTGGAAACAGGCAAATGTTGTGCCAATTTTTAATAAAATGCTCCGCAGGGCGCAGCTTGATACGACCGCAGAGGTCGAACCCTGAACAGTTGGGGCAAGTATGGACACAACATTCAAGCTTGATACAGCTTTGCATTTGGATTGTGATTAAATATTTGACACAGCATAGGTTTCTGACACAGAATGAATGCGGTCTAAGAACTTAAAAATTTTAAATTGGACATTCACCTATTATGGTCCAATATCCAAAATCTAAATACATGGTTAGATTCAGCATATCAAAGAACCCCAAGAATTCAATTTTTGATGAAATCAAACAAAGTTTAATTTTGGACCCTTTTGACCTCAATGTGGACAAAGTTGATAACGGGGCCCAAAAATCAAAAATCTAAATACATGGTTAGATTCAGCATATCAAAGAACCCCATATATTCAATTTTTGTTGAAATCAAACAAAGTTTAATTTTGGACCCCGATTTGGACCAACTTGAAAACTGGGCCCATAATCAAAAATCTAAATACATGTTTAGATTCAGCATATCAAAGAACCCTAAGAATTCAATTTTTGTTAAAATCAAACTAAGTTTAATTTTGGACCCTTTGGACCTTAATGTAGACCAATTTGAAAACAGAACCAAAAATTAAGAATCTAAATACACGGTTAGATTCGGCATATCAAAGAACCCCAATAATTCAATTTTTGATGAAATCAAACAAAGTTTAATTTTGGACCCTTTGGACCTCAATGTGGACCAATTTAAAAACGGGGCCCAAAATCCAAAAACTAAATACATGATTAGATTCAGCATATTAAAGAACCCCAAGAATTCAAGAATAAAACCCCATTGAAATTGGTCAAGAAATAAGCAATTTATATGAAGTATCTTCTTTTGCACAATACTGTGCAATTAAATATTTCTTGCTATTGCGCAATACTGTACAATTGACAATTTCTTGCTATTGCGCAATATTGTGCTATTGGATATTTCTTGCTATTGCGCAATACTGTGCAATTGAAGATTTCTTGCTATTGCGCAATACTGTGCACTTGAAGATTTCTTGCTATTTTGCAATACTGTGCAATTGAAAATTTCTTGCTATTGCACAATACTTATTATATAATAATTTACACATCCTGTTTGGTGTGTATCTCCTACCATATCATTATTATTTGCTTTTAAATATAAATCAGAAATAACCAACTTAAAATGGAAAATTTTAAAAGAAAAAAAAAAGGAAAAAAAAGAAAAAGAAGGAAAAAAAAAAATCCCCCCTCCCAAAATTTTTTGAACTCCCTTATGATTCATCACCCCCAAACTCAATCCCAGCCTTCCCTTTGTGGTATGGTACCTTGCAATACAATTTCAGAGAGATCCATACACTTGAACACAAGTTATTGTCTGGAAACTAGAAAAATGTGTTTTTTGGCCCCTTTTTGGCCCCAAATTCCTAAACGTTTAGGGCAACTACCCCCAAACTCAAACCCAGCTTCCCCTTTGTGATATGGAACCTTGTAGTACAATTTCAGAAAGATCCATACACTTACACACAAGTTATTGTCCTGAAACTAGAAAAATGCTTGTTTTTTGCCCCTTTTTGGCCCCTAATTCCTAAAATATTGAGGCAATTACCCCCATCATCAATCCCAGCCTTCCCTTTGTGGTATGGTACCTTGCAGTACAATTTCAGAGAGATCCATACACTTGAACACAAGTTATTGTCTGGAAACTAAAAAAATTCTTATTTTTGGCCCCTTTTTGGCCCCCCAATTCCTAAAATATTGAGGCAATTACCCCCAAACTCAATTCCAGCTTTCCCTTTGTGATATGGAACCTTGTAGTACAATTTCAGAAAGATCCATACACTTACACACAAGTTATTGTCATGAAACTAGAAAAATGCTTGTTTTTTGCCCCTATTTTTGCCCCTAATTCCTAAAATTTTGAGGCAATTACCCCCAAAATCAATCCCAGCATTCCTTTTGTGATATGGAACCTTGTGGTACAATGTCAGAGAGATCCATACACTAACACACAAGTTATGTCTGGAAGTTACAAAAATGCTTATTTTTGGCCCCTTTTTGGCCCCTAATTCCTTTACTGTTGGTACCATAACCCCCAAAATCAATCCCAACCTTCCTTTTGTGGTATTGAACCTTGTGGTAAAATTTCATAGAGATCCATTCACTTAAACTAAAGTTAGAGTGCGAAAACCAATGTGTCTTCGGACGACGCAGGACGACGCCGACAACGACGACGACGCCAACGTCATACCAATATACGACCACAAAAATTTTTTTGCGGTCGTATAAAAAGGGAGATAAGCATAATGCAATTAACTATAGACCGGTTTCTTTAACGGCTATATGTTGTAAGGTTTTAGAACACGTCTTAACAATATTAGAAAACATTTAGATTTAAATAATATTTTAAATGATTGCCAACATGGCTTTAGGAGTAAACGTTCCTGTGAAGCACAACTTGTTATCAGCATCCAGGACATAGCCAAATACTTGGCAGAAGGTAATCAAGTTGATGCAATACTTTCAGATTTTTCTAAAGCTTTTGATAAGGTCCCCCATGAAAGATTAATAACAAAACTTAATTATTATGGTATACGTGAAAATAACTTACTTTGGATAACAGATTTTTTGTCAAACAGGCAACAGCAAGTCCTGCTTAACGGTGTTCAATCTTCCAAATTAGCTGTTGACTCTGGTGTTCCTCAGGGCACAGTATTAGGCCCAACTTTATTTTTGTTATTCATAAACGACCTACCTGAGCATGTCTCCTGTAAGGTTCGTCTTTTTTCTGACGACTGTTTACTTTATGAAACATCAAATAATATTAATGAGTCTCAAGCACTCCAAAAAGATCTATCAAGCCTTGAAAATTGGGAATCTGAATGGCAAATGAAATTTAATCCTGAAAAATGCTATATGTCATAAATATTTCTAAAAAGTCAAAAACTAATTTATTTCAATATAAATTACATAACCATGTACTTGAATCAGTCAAAGACAGCAAGTACAAATGTATCTAGGAGTTACAAAAAGCAATGATCTTGATTGGGGGCCCCATATTAATAATTTAACTTCAAAGGCAAATAAAACACTAGGTTTTTTACGTAGAAACATGAAAAACTGTACACGTAAGGTTAAAAACCTTACGTACACATCACTTGTGCGTCCGACCGTCGAGTACTCCTCACCAGTTTGGGATCCGTACAAACAAAGCCAAATAAACCAAATTGAGCAGATACAGCGTAAAGCAGCAAGATATGTTTTTAATGATTATAACGATAGATCACCAGGAGCTGTCACTGGTATGTTAAACAAGTAAAATGGGAAAACTTACAATCCCGTAGAACAAAAGCTAAGCTTGTCTTGATTTATAAGATTAATGGGGGGTTGGTCGAAGTCACTAATGACGTCCTGACACAATCTGACAGGCGAACTAGAGGCCTACATAAATTTCGACATATATATACAAATAAAGACTTTTTTAAATCATCTTTTTTCCCCAAGTACTATTGCTGTCTGGAACGATCTCCCAGAAACAATTTGCATGCCACCCTCCCTAGAATCCTTCAAAGGTGGTATCTCCACCTTAACATTTGGAGGTTCTAGTCTGGCTAATTAATTAGTGTATTTAAGCCACTGTACATAATGTCAATATGTTTAACATTAAACTACAACTAATGTTATTTTAAATTGTAATTGAACTGTGGTAAATATTTTATTTTATTATAACACAATTTTCGACATCCATTTGCATGTACATAGCGCCACAGTTCTGGGATATTCCACACTCCGGCACCGGAGTCTTTCCCGTACTAGGAAGAAGGAAAGATTATACAACAATCAGTGAGATCAAAGATATCATAGTTATACCTAATCATCATACTAGATTACAATCAAGAGTCATTAAAAGTAATTCTTAATAAAAACATTGAAGTCAGTTAATGCTTCAACACAAATTTTTAAACATTTCCTGATTTTTTTTTAAATATATATATTTTTTAAATATTTACCGTACAATGCCATATAAATATCTGAAAAAACCTTAATACCATTAATTATATTTTTATTTTAAAAGTAGGGCGAACGGACTCTATGGGTGAATGGACCTGATACCCATGTGTGTGTGGGGTGCAACTTCTAAAAGTGAAGCAAAACCCTTTTCTGTAGTCAAATAGTCTAGAAGTTAGTCAGTTGTGCCCCAGCGACTCTTTTCACAAAAAATCTTACGATTATAATTAATCGTAAAGTTATACTGAAATGTTCATGACTTACGAGTATTTTTACTTGCAAGATTATTTGTGAAAAGAGCTGTAAGCTCCTATCATACCTATGTTCCTGAATGTGAGCTGGCACTTTATTCCAATTTCTGAATTTAAGCAAACCAAACAATGTTACTGATAGACTTAACTTTTGGTAGCTGTTAAAATGAATACTGCCCAAAAGAATTCCTGCTAAAACGTATTAGAAAAAACCTGCGAATGTCTGACGGTAGTCAACCAGTAGAATTAATATTCCCCACCGATCCAATAGAAGGATTAGTCGTTCATAGCTAAAAAAAAATGTCTAAAATAACATTCCATTTGAATTGAAACTGCTTAGTTTCGGTATATTGGGATGCATATTGCGGTATCTTAGGGTAAAGAATCACACCAGGTCCAGGACGAACATGTGATCCCGCTTGGAGTTTTAACTTAAAAATAAAATGACAGGCTGCTTTAATTAACCTTTTGAAGACAAATATTTCTTGATATTCAGATCTTTCTTTGTACAAAATTTCTTCTATTTCCAAACTAGCACTATAGCCAGCCCACTGGTCATTTTCTTCTCGAAACCATTTACCATTTATAACTGCCATCTCGTTTTGAGCTCCAGTTTGAAATGATTTACCTCCCCTGTCAAAGGTCTCATAAAAATAGAAACAAGAAGCGACAAGAAGCGACAAGAAAACAAATTTAGTGCCAAGACAGTCTCCGACCTTGAAATTATTCAAATTATTATTTTAATTTTCTCTGCTGCTTTAACTAGGTCCACAGATTTACTCAAAGTTACCCCAAAACGGTATCGGGTCCGTTCGCCCTAATTACATGTTCGCCCTGGGTCCGTTCGCCCTGAGTCCGTTCGCCCATAGAGTCCGTTCGCCCTGGGTCCGTTCGCTCTAATTTAAAAAAATGTATTAATATTTATGGTATAATTTAAGGTTTTATAATCTTATTCAGATATTTAAATGGTAAATATTAAAAAAATATATATATATCCAAATTCATGAATAAACATGGAAATTAATGAAAAAAACAAATGGTTTTTGTTTTGGAGCATTAATCAGGCTAATTGGCTTCATTGTTACAATTGTTTTTATTCAGCATTACTTATAAAAAGGAAATTGTTTTCGCCGCATGGCTTCTTTGATCTCAAGGTGTTGAGTGAGTTGGATCTTGTTATACCTGTTTGGATTGTTTTGAAATTGTTACAAGGTTTCAAAAAAGATAAATCCATACAGATAACTTGGTCTCCAGTTTCTGAACACTTTTTCTTCTTCTTCAAAATACTGCCCACATTCAACATGATGAATATTCTGGCAAGAATATTTAATGCAAATCAAAAGAAAAATAATTATCTGGTAGCAGCAATACCGTGACAACATAAATATTCGGCGAAATTTTCAACAAACTTTAACATAATTAATTCAAATAATTTATACTATACAAGACAACAAAATAAAATAGAAATCAGGGCGAACGGACTCAGTGCGAACAGGAATTAGGGCGAACGGACCCAGGGCGAACAGGTATTAGGTCGAACAGGTACTAGGGCGAACGTGAATCAGGGCGAACGGACCCGGATTCCCCCAAAACATACCATTAAAGAAGTTAAAGTCACTTCAATTGTAATTATTTCATTTTTACATAATTTTTATGTGGGATCACATAATAATACATGTATGTAACCCTAAGTTTAATCTTATTTTAAATTTTGCATGTGCACAATGTAGATGCGGGTCCATATTTTGAGATCTGTAACAAACAAAACTAGAGGCTCTCAAGAGCCTGTGTCGCTCACCTGATTCTACTTTGGTTTTGGAAATCATGTAAAAATAGATTAAAATCATAACAGATACCCTAATAATGAGTGAGGCCAAATTTGGTTTAATATTGGTCCTGTAATTTAATAAAAAATCCTGGTGGCCATCTTGAACAGTAAATCGGCAACAAAGTAGCAACACTTAATCAGCACCTCATAAGAAACATTTATGCCATGTTTTGGTTTCATTCCATTCAGTGCACCTCTAGAAGAAGCATTTGTATGTATTTCCCATAGGGTCGTATGTTAAAGGAAGTCCCCCCATTGGCGGCCATCATGGATGAAGGATCAGCTTCAAAGTAACAACACTTGGTCAGCACCTCAAAAGGAACATGCATGCCATGTTCGGTTTCTTTCCATTCAATTGTTCTCTAAAAGAAGACATTTGTATGTATTTCCCATAGGGTCCTATGTTAAACTAAGTCCTCCAATGACGGCCATCTTGGATTATGGATTGGCTTCAAAGTAACAACACTCGGTCAGCACCTCATAAGGAACATTCATGCCATGTTTGGTTTCATTCCATTTAGTGGTTCTCTAAAAGAAGACATTTGTATGTATTTCTCATAGGGTCCCATGTTAAACTAAGTCCCCTGCAGGCGGCCATCTTGGATTATGGATCGGCTTCAAAGTAACAACACTCGGTTAGCACCTCATAAGAAACATTCATGCCATGTTTGGTTTCATTCCATTCAGTTGTTCTCTAAAAGAAGACCTTTGTATGTATTTCCCATAGGGTCCCATGTTAAACTAAGTCCCCTGCTGGCGGCCATCTTGGATTATGGATCAGCTTCAAAGAAACAACACTCGTTCAGCACCTCATAAGGAACATTCATACCATGTTTGGTTTCATTCCATTCAGTGGTTCTCTAAAAGAAGACCTTTGTATGTATTTCCCATAGGGTCCCATGTTAAAATAAAAATACACAGAAAGAACATTGAAGTCCATTTTCCTAATACATTATTACTATACTATATATAAAAATATTAATATTCGCGAACCATTTAGGTCACAGAAATTCCAAAATATGGCATCAGTAAGGAGAGTTGTACAAATAATGTGAATACACAGAACCCCGATCCAATTTATCTTTTGCAAAAAGTATTCATCATTTTCTGTTTTGTATGTACTAACAACATTCCATTTTAGTCTCGCCTTGACGGAGTCAAAAAGCGAGACATAGGTATGCTGTTTCCGGCGTCTGCGGCGGCAACAATGTATTAGTTTGTGATTAGGTCTAGTTCATGGTGAACCACTAGTGGTAGATCAATGATATTTGGTATGCAGTTGTATTAGCATTGACACATCTCATTACCATGGAGATGTTTTGGCCCTGCCCCCTCAGTCAAGGTCTATTGACTTTGAAACTTTTCATAGTTTACATGTATTATTTTGTGATTAGGTCAATTTATGGGGAACCACTAGTGGTAGGTCAATGATATTTGGTATGCAGTTGTATAAGCATTGGCATATCTCATTTCCATGGAGATTGTTTGGCTCCGCCCCCTTAGTCATGGTCTATAGACTTTGAAAATTTTGCTAAGTTAACATGTATTAGTTTGTGATTAGGTCAGTTCAAGGGGAACCATAAGTGGTAGACCAATGTTAATTGGTGTTCAGTTGTATAAGCATTAGCACATCTCATTTCCATGGAGAATATTTGGCCCTGCCCCCTCAGTCATGGTCTATTTACTTTGAAATTTTTGCTTACTTTACATGTATTAGTTTGTGATTAGATCAGTTTAAGATGAACTGCTAATGTTAAGTCAATGATATTTGGTATGCAAATTTATTGGGATTTACAATATCGTTTCCATGGAGATTATATAGCCCCACCCCTGATCATGGTTCATTGACTTTGAAACTTTTACATAGTTTACAAGTTAATGTTTGTGTTTAGGTTTGTTTAAAGGGAACGACTTATAATAAGTCAATGGTATTTGGTATGCAGTTGTATTAGCACTGGCACATCTCATTCCATGTAGATTGTTTAGCCATGTACCTTCAGTCATGGTTCATCGACTTTGAATATTTGCATAACTTACATGTTAAAGTATTGCTATTTTAATTTCAACTTTTGCATTATCAAAATTACAAAAAGGCGAGACATATCTCTGTGATAACAGTTTATTCTATAATTTCGATTAAAATATTCTTAAACCTGCAGTTAAAATAGGTCACATGACCCAAATAAACATTCCCCGTGATTGGTTGAACTACTGTGGCCTCGATGTAAAGCAACGCAAGCTTCGATGTAAAGAACACACTTCCAAGGAGTAAGGAGAGTTGTACAAATAATATGAATACGCAGAACCCCGATCCAATTCATCTTTTGCTAAAAGTGTTTATCATTTTCTGTTTCGTAGCTACTAACAACATTTTTTTTTCTATAATTCCGTTTTAAATATGCCAAAACCTGCAGTAAAAATAGAGGTATATCCCAACTTAACATTTCCCGATTGGTTGAACTTTGAGGTTGAACTGCTATGTCTTGTCTTGTCTTGTGTGAAGATCCTGCCTTTCAAAGGCACACCTCTGGTTACATAGTAGAATATGGTGTATTTAACACCCACTAAATGTTTATTACACTATTAAAATCTAAAACAAAAGATAATTTAGATTTTAAATATCCACGCCTTTGACTGAGTGGTTGCAAGCAACCCTTTCTTTTTATTCACCGGCAATGTTAATAATATTGTATTACGTCTAATGTGCAAAGCAAAGCAAAGTTTTCTACTTATGTATTCTACAAGATGAAGAAAATCTGTACATCCACATTTACATTGACAGTTACAGAGCAAGGCACTAGCATCAGATATTAGTTGTGTACTAATTTCTAGTTTTTCTAATGTTGTACATTTCGGACAGAGCTCGCTTTTATTGATAATATTCGAAAGTTCAAGCAGGTGATAGTTTCTAGCAGAAGCTAAAGCAGGACATGAATGAATGAAATGGTCTAATGTTTCAGCGTCCTCCTCGCATAAGAGACATGTTGGGTTGTCCCGTTGATGTCAACTTGGTTGAAAGCTGCCCTATTACATTGGAGAATGTATGTAACAGTAAGGAGTCTAAGTTTGATGGGGAGACGCTGAATGTCTTTTGCAGAGTCTGGACACTTGCTAGAGCATTGTGTAGATGACCAGTTTTATAATTGGATGTAGAAATAAATGAAATACTCTTATAGTAGACAGACATGGTAACCACATGTTCAACCCAGAAGGTGTCAATCGCTTTCCTGATAGAGTTCTTCCATTTTAATTTTGAAGGTGGTTCATCTAAAATGTTAAAGATTGATGGTAGGCTGTATTTGATTAATAAAGATCTGATTTTTGTGAACAAACTGTCCTTTACAGCTATTGAGATGAGGATTTGTCTTTCTGCGACTTGTCTTTCTATAGAGCTCTCTTGTCTTGAAATATTTGCAAAAGTTCCCAAAGCTAGTTTATGGATTTTACTAATTACTGGAATCGTACCCGACAGTATATACACAGTCATGTCTGTTGTGTTAGTGGGAATAGATAAAGGACCTCGATGTAAAGCAACGCAAGACTCGGTGCAAAGCACACACTAAATTTTCCGTTAATACACAACAACCGATTCACAAACAGAGATGTTCTTGCGCTCAAATGTAATTCTAAGTGAAGTATACTGGTAAAGTACAATTCTAATCTTTTACAGAAGTATATACACATTTTATCATTAATATATTATCATGCTTCTGCATATTTATCTCTGCTGAGCTATAGTTAAATTTAATTCTATACAAATTTTGTTACGTCAAGCAATAGGAGTAAGAATATTTCGCGC